CTCACAGACACATCATCCAGCACACACACACACATCATCCAGCACACACACACACATCATCCAGCACTCACTCACACACACACACATCATCCGGCACTCACACACACATCATCCAGCACTCACACACACATCATCCAGCACACGCACACACTGCATTCATTATACACACTCTTCACTCACTACAAACAGACTACATTCACTATACACTCACTACAAACACACTACATTCACTATACACCCTCTGCATTCACTATACACACTCTGCATTCATTATACACATTCTGCACTCACTACACACTACATTCACTATACACACTCTGCATTCACTACAAACACACTACATACACTGCATTCATTGTACACACTCTGCACTCACTACAAACACACTAAATTCATTATACACAATTTGCACTTACTACAAACACACTACATTCATTATAGACACTCTGCACTCACTACATTCACTATACACACCGCATTCACTATACATACTGCACTCACTACAAACACACTACATTTATTATACACACTGCACTCACACTACATTTATTATACACACTGCACTCACTACAAATACACTACATTCATTATACACACTCTGCACTCACTAAGAACACACTGCATTCATTATACACACTCTGCACTCACTACAAATAGACTACAATTATTATTCACACTGCACTCACTACAAACACACTACATTTATTATTCATACTCTGCATTCACTACAAACACACTACATTCATTATACACGCACTGCACTATATGCATAAGAGTGTAATTTTTTTTTAATTTTTTTTTTTAAGGGCGGGGGGGAGGCGGGAATCTTGGGTGAGTTCCCACACTTTTTTCCCCAGGACTTGACCCCTGTATATATGTTGTTATTGTAAGGTTATAATATGATCTTCTTTTAAATTGCTAGTTTAATCATGTATAATAATGATCTTATAATAATCTTTGTTTGTCTTTTTGTATATGTGAATTATATAAAAATATGAAAATAAAAATCATAAAACAAAAAAATGTAAACTACACATTTACTAAGAGAAAACTATTAAAATTAGATAAACATCACGTAATATGCATGTTTTTTTCCCTCTGTCAGATGCACCTATACTGCATAGCAAAATAGGCTTTAAGACTACAAAAAAAAAAAGTAAAGAAATATATTGCAAATTAGACTTGTCTGAAAAGATTTGGTTCAGGTGGTCCAAAATTCATGTGCAATCATTTTGGGGATAAACAAATCCCAAATCTTAATAATGAATCACATTTTTGAGATTTACTCGACTAAAACTAGCCTAAAACTAAAACAATTCAGATGACTAAAATACGACTAAAACTAAAATGGCATTTTAGTCAGAATACTATGACTAAAACTGAATTGAAATTTGCTGCCAAAATTAACACTGTAGTGTGAGGGAGCCACAGAGGGGTTGGAGAAAGGGTAAAAGAGACAGAACTGGGCTTGGGAGAGATACACCCAGAGGGGCTGGGGGACACAAAGAGACACAGAGGGTGGGGAAGGGGCAAACGAGACAGAGGCTTTAACTAAAGCCATTCGATTTTAAGTTGTGTCAACTAATATCTTCTAGAGATTTAGTCAACTAAAATTAGACTAAAACAATTCAGATGACTAAAATACGACTAAAACTAAAATGGCCTTTTAGTCAAAGGACTATGACTAAAACTAAATTGAAATTTGCCACCAAAATTTACACTGCTGTTCGCCCACCGTTCGTTTAATTTGTTTCGTCATTCATCCAGAGGAGCTTTGGATTTGTATAATGAAAGATTATTGGAAAGACTTTAGCTCCATGGCAATTGAAGTGTATGTGTGTGCTCTGAGCGCCATTCAGTAATAATGTGCACTCAGATCTGAGCTATCTGGGGATATGTTGAATGTATCTGTTTTATGCAATGGCTGCACAGTTATATATTTTTATGTATTTTATTGTCTTTTGCTGCCATGTGTTAAATGGAGTTTTGCCTCTGTCCTTGGAGATAATTGGATTACTTCCCAATTATCTCCAGGATAGAAGACTCTGTGGAACTCGTTTTGGGCAGAAAAGCCATGCTTCAATTGGTCACAAAGGACTACGATCTATCTTTTTAACCACTGGACCAATTTGTATGATTTTGACGTATGTTTGTATTTGGAGTATGCTGATTCTGAAAATGTGTGAATGTGATGCATACTTTTAAAGTTATGAATAATGTGGAAAAACTGTATTTCTCTGCCTGTGATAATTGCATTACCCATTGTGTAAGGTAATTGTATCACAGGCAGAGGGGAGGATTTTGTGTGGGAGTGTCTGAGTGTATTGTACGTGTTTATTGGTAGTTTTCCAAAACCCTGTGGGTGGTACTAATGTGTATATAAGAACAATAAACCAACAGCTCTGTCTGTTCCTGCTTGACCCTCAAAACGGAGCCTTGTCTCGTTCTTGGGGGGATTTACTGTATGCTGTTAGAGACTGATTGCCAGGAGTGTAAGCCGCTTGGGTGCTTTTCCTGTTCAGCTGCTAGCAGCTATTCGTGAGGTTCCAGTTCGGGAGTTTGCAGCATTCCCTTGAATCCAGTTTGAGGGTTTGGTGTTCTGCAGTAGCTGTGCCTGTGTCTCTGGAAGGGAAGAGATACTAAACGGCAGTTTGACCCCTTTCATGCCTGGGGGTGCCGTTACAATAGGAATCCCTGATATAAGAGAGTATCAGAACTTTTACACCTCATTATTCCCTATGTATAGAAAGTGACCTTCATTCCTTAGCAGATGTTAATGGTAGGCTTAAATGTTGACACCATTATCATATATTACCATTAATTTAATTCTTTATGGAAACGCTGGCTTGTTCTGGCTCTGGGAAGATATCATTGCTCTGGCACTTAACATGTTAATGTGAGTCCAACAATGCAGAGTAACAAGGTGAACCATGCATGAAGCTCAATACTAGCTCTGTTCCTTGTCACGCACCACATATTTTATATCCTCGTTCTTAGTGTCTGCGTGAGCGGAAAGAATGCGTATTAACCTCTTCACTACCAAAAAATATGCTTATCATTCAAAACACAGAATGCATAGGTCGTACTGGAAATTAAGAAGAAAACAGCAACTTTGAGCATAGATTGCTTTTAAAAAAATGTCATAATTATGTAAATGTACATAAGTATTAGTTTTAAATTATTTTTTACCCTTTGCAGAATTTTGGGGAGTTACATGAACAAGTGAAGGACTCTCTTGAAATCCAATACATTACATATATTATAAAATAATGATCTAGGAAGACAAATAGCAGTTTTTTAGATATACAATGGATGCAGAACTAAAAATAAAACAATACTATCATATATTATATATTAATAAAGAATCAATATTATATACATTCATATGTACTAGTATATAAATAGAAATAATAATATAGTCATCTGATGGGTAATGTCAAATAATCTGCTGGCAGTTTAGGAATGAAAATTCTCAAAAATGCCATTACATTGTAACTATTATCATTCTATACAAGTGGAATTCCCACATGCAGTAAACACAACGCCTTAGATTTTAAATCTAACATCCATACTCGACCCAACACAGAAATCTGTTCACCTCTCAGTACCTCTACAGCACAAGGATGGACACTTGGCACCGCGACTCTAAAGATCATCTGGTAGATTTCAGTTCTACAACTCTCGCTTGGATGCCTCAACATCTAAACTGGTGGCAATGTGGTTCTATAGTACTAAGGGAATTAGGCTGCATAGCTAAACCATTCACTTTGGGAAAACTCAGATCTACAGTTCTAGTTGGAGGTAGCTCTACAACTCAACGCATATCTTAGCATCTGACATATATCAAATGTTAACAAATGTATTGAGCTATTCCATATCTTCATCCGCATCATATCACTGATTAATTCAGGAAGAATGCTATTTAAACTGTTCTTAGACATTGCAAAGGTTATTATGTAACAGCAATATATTCCGTTTCAGAACAAACTGTTTGAAAAAACATATATCTGTCACTTTGCACATATAATGCATGATATCAATTTCAAAGAAATGCAGTTTCCAGTTCATACCAAAAACTTAATGTTTCCATTAGATGCCTCCACATTAGCCTGAGACTCTTAAGAGAATATTTTTAAAGGTTTTTTTTCTATATGTTTTAAACATTGTTTGAAACCAATATATTATCATAATAGGCCGTATGTTAATAAGACCGCAATACAGTATGGTGTAAGTAAAAGGAGAGAGAAGATTACATAGACTGAGTATTTCATTATGTCATTATTAAGGTATATGATACACATGTAGATGTTGCAGGGCATACATTGTGGGCATAGTGATTTTAGTCTACAATGTGAGCACACTGACACATTCAGGCAGCAGAAAAGAGCATCCAGCAAACTGCGTACTTTCAGTAATGGAACTACAGGGGTCGCTAAGGTTGTAAGTGTGTTCAGGCCTTCTGCATTCCACCTGTTTAAGGAGGCCCAGAAGGTGACCCTCTGACCACCTCCGGGCCCCTCCCGAGGTGGGTGGATATCCACTAAGGTAGTGTAGGCACCTGCTAATCTGGATGGCCAATGCATACTCTGCTGAAATATACAGTGTCTGTAATAGGAGAATGGAGGTGGCAGCGATGGAGCTCTGATGTTCCTGCTCTCCCTCACTGTTTCGTCGCATGCCCTGCGGTAATGCCTGGAGCCGTGATATGATGTTACTGTAGCCCAGCATCATTAAATGGTGCACGAGGGAGTGATGCAAAAGAGATTGAAGATTAAAGCAAACCACTGGAACCCCAGCTCTCCTAATGGACGGGCTTAAAAAAAATACAATAAAAAAACTCCACAATAAATATTTTGTGTGTGTTTGTGAGATAATGTATAAATGTGTGAGCAGGGGTGTAACTAGGAATCACAGGGCCTCAGTGCAAGAATCTGATACACATACAGTGACACACACTCACTGACATGACACAAACACTGTTTAACCAACACACACTTTCACTAACAGTGAGTATATGTCAATGAATGTGAGTCAGTGAGAGCGTATGTCTGACACACACACTCACTGACAGACACACAGTCATTTTCACAAAAACTGTCTAACCAACACACACTTTCAATAACAGTGAGTATATGTCAATTAATGTGTATCACTGAGAGCTCATGTCTGACACACACACTCACTGACAGACACACAGTCTTAGGCATACACACTGTTTGACCAGCACACACTTTCACTGACAGACCCACACTCAGATACACACACACACTGACATAGACACATTCACTGACAGACGCACACTCTCACTGATTTCACAATGACACTGACGCATAAATGTTATACACTATACACAATTGTATTATAGCTTGTAAGCACTTTATATCTACTTGGCACTTTATTTATTAGTATTATGAATTACTTGCCACCTTTATTCATGAGTTGATTTTAATTGCCTTTGGTGCTTATCCTTTAATCCCCTAATTCCTTTTTTACAGGTATTGTATATAATTAAAAGAACAAAGCACACTATCTTTGCGTGAAAAGATCTAATTTTATGAATGACACTGTCACTTTAAATATATATCGAAAGAAGTTTGCCTACTTCATAACCGACACATCTTTTAATGCATGCATGTTATACTTTATACACAGTTGTATTAGATTTGTTAAGACATTTATATCTTCTTGACACTTTAAGTTCAAATTATTTATTGGCACTTTATTTATGAATTACTTTTTGCACTTATCTCAGCAATAGCACTTTGATTCATGAATAGATTTTGCTCTTATTGAAATACTAGTACCTTTTTTTTACACTGACTATATTTATATTAAATATTATTATACATATCAGCCCTTTTGTTTTG